CGGGGCGGGGCCACAGCCTCCAGGCACCACCCTCGCCTGGGGCGAGGGCTTTGCCGCTCCGCAGCCTGGTGGGGGGGTGGGAGTGGAAAGCAGCGGAGGCCCCGCCCCTGGCCGGAGAAGCCCCGCCTACAGGCCTCCTCCTCCATTTGCTCCAGCAGCGGGGTGAGAACGGCCCGGCCGCCTCTGACGTGTGCTTGGGAAGAGCTGACTGGTCGCCAAATGGGAGGAGCCCTATCCGGCCCCGCCCCTGTCCACCTATGCCCCTCCCCAGAAGTCTCCGGTTGGAGGCCAGTTCGCAGGGAGATTCCAGCTTCCCAGGCTTAGAGTGCTGGGGTTACGCCAGCGCCCTCCGGTCGGATTTCTGAGGCCTAGAGAGAGGCGGATGGATCTGGGAGCGTAATTAGAAATTGTTTTAAAGTGGATATATGTGCCTTTTAGAAACACGGAGGTACAGAAGAAGATGCAGGAGAAAACACCAGAATGCGACGAACCAGAGACTAGGAGGCTCAGCCTTCTGATGCCTTTCCTCGCAGTCTGATTTCTAGATGGCAGCGCGTTCACCCCGTCTTCCATGTCGTTCTGATGATGGGAGGGGAGAATACCTGCTCCGCTAGCCTCTCTCAGGAGGGAGTCCCTGACACCACCCAGTGCACCTGATCACCCACTGCACTGGGAGAGCTGGACCCACCCCTGTCAGCGGGACTCCTTCTGGAGGGCAGCAGGGTGGCATGGGAACCACAGAAACATCCGTGCCCTTTGACCCCATGACTTCACTACGGGAAGCTGACATTCCAAAATGCAGAGAAAGCTTATACAGCTAGGCAGTGCCAGATCTCTGGTTAGAATCCAGTAGCTTCTACACTGGCATACACAACACCCTCTTTCTTTCTCCCTAACAAGATCAAGGTAGCCCTAGCTGATTTGGTTCAGTGGATAGAGCATCAGCCTGCAGACTGAAGGGTCCCAGGTTCGATTCCAGTCAAGGGCACATGCCTGAGCTGTGGGCTCGATCCCCAGTAGGGGATCAACAGACCCCTCTTTCCCTCTCTCAGTGTGGACACCGATGGTTCCATTGTCAGTTGATGACAGTCATGTGTGCTCGTGTGCTTCTGCTTCAGTGCAGGTACCTCCTGCCTCTGCCCCAGATTTGGCACCCGAAGCTGAAGTGACAGTCGAATCACCTCAATTGTCCCTCATTCCCCTCTGCTGTGTTGACTGTCCCTCAATTGACTTTGACTGTCTCCACCCGGACCCTCATGTGTGAGCACCCAGTGTGAACTGATAGTTGGGGGTCCCATTGGGCCCTTATGTCTCTACCTAGTCCCTCCATTCTCCTTTCTGGCGTAAATATGAGTATCTGGGCTTTCTGTTGATGCTGTCATCTGGGCCCTCATATCTCTGACTTGTGTAGCTACATAGAGCTGAGGTGACATTTGAGCGCCCTTATGTCTGCCCCAGTGTAGCTCTCATCACTGACTTGTGTTGTGTCTTGGGTCCTCATGCTGTGCCTCAGGGTAGGGACTCAGATCTGAGGTAACACTGAATACCCTCATCTGTCCCTCATGCCTCTACCACAGGTTAGGCATCAAGAGCTGATGTGAGCCCAGCTGGTGTGGCTCAGTGGTTGAGCATCTACCCATGAACCAGAGGGTCACAGTTCGATTCCTGATCAGGGCACATGCCTGGGTTAGGGGCTGGATCCTCAGTGGGGGGCGTGCAGGAGGCAGCTGATCAATGATTCTCTCTCATCATTGATGTTTCTATCTCTCCTCCCTCTCTGAGATAAAAAAAAATGTTTTGTGTGTGTGTGTTTTTTTTTTTTAAAGAACACATAAAAAAGAGCTGATGTGAGCCCTGGCTGGGTAGCTCAGTTGGTTACAGGGCCATCCCAGTATGCCAATGCTGTGGGTTCAATCTTCAGTTAGGCCACATACAAGAAGCAACCAATGAGTGCCTAAATGGGTGGAATAACAATCTGTTTCCTCACCCCTCCCTCCCTCCCTCTCTCTCAATTAAAGAACGCCCCCACCCACAAAAACCTGATGTGAAAGGTGACTCCATTCATGAGCCCTTAAGCCCGCTATAGTCTAGGCATCTAGAAGTTAAATGTTAGTTGAATGTCAAAACCTGGACCCAATCAATGCCATGCCTCGAACCCAGTTTAGGTACCAGAGCTGAGGGAGCTGTTGGTTGTCCTCACATGGCCCTTCTGCTTGGTCCCAGTGTACAGATTCGGTGCCAGTTGCAAGCCGTGTACCTCAGCACCAATGTCGCCACCCAGAGCTGAGGTGACAGGTGTCTTTCCTCACCCGAGAGCTGTCACATCTGTCCCAGTGTAAGCACACAGGTATGTCAGACGCCTCTCCTCACCAGGTCTGTCACCTCTGTTCCACATTGGAGGGCTCCAGAGCTGAGGTGACATTTGACTCAGTTCAGTGAGGCCCTAAGGTCTGTGTCGGAATGTATTGACCCAGAGATGAAGTGACAAGTGACTGTCTTCACCTGAACCCTCATGCTTGTGCCTCATTGTAGGTACCCGGACCGGAGGTAACAGCTGAAATGTCTCTACCGGGGACCTCATGCCTCTTCCCCATTGCAGGCTCCCAGAGCTGACATGACAGCTGGCTGTCCCCATCAGCACTTTCACCTATTTCTCCCTCATAGGCACCCAGAGGTCAGGTGACACTTGGGTGTCCTCCCCAGGGTCCTCCCATCTATGCCCCAGTGTAGCACCCAGATCCATGTCATAGCGGATACACCCAGAGCAGGATCAGATGGGGAGGTCGCTGCAGTCCCTCCTCCCTGCTCACACACGGTCATTATGTGCTGGGGGCCTGGGAGGAGCTGCCCCCCCCCCTCCATGGCCCCTGCTGCTGCCCCTACTCGGATCCTCCCACACTTCTTGGAGGGGTCCCCCCGGTGATGCCATGCCAGCACCTTCCCCTGGGAAGGACTACCCCTAGCACACAGATCTGCCAGGCCCCTTAAAGTCTGTAAAGTTTTTTGGGGGGCTCTGTGAAAGGGCTCTGAGCATGAAGACCCCCGCGGGGTTAGGAAGGGCCCCTGCACCTTTGCTTATCTGCTTTTGCCCCCAAGGCTTTGATGTCCTCAGGTCTGTATTTTGAGGATTTGGGTTTCAGGAGTGCAGGCCAGGGCGGGTGGGGATTTTCCGCGAGCCGGCAGGGTTGACAGCGCCCTCTGGTGGTAAGCAGGGGGAAGGCGTGGCTGCGTCTTCAGGGATTGGCTCTGCACCATTCAGGTCACCATCTGGGGGTTCACTGCTCTTTGTGCCATCCTGGGCCTTTTGCAAAGCCTCCTCTACCCCCATCGCGGCCACGTGACTGCACCTCAGAGTCAAGGGTAATACCCTCTGTAGCCATACCGGAGCCAAAGGGTTACAGGGAGCCTGAGTCCCTAGGATGGCCCATTGCCCCTTTTCCAGGGCACAGGGGTGAGGACCAAGGTCATGGCCCCTGGCCAAAGCCTGGCCTCCAATCTTGTCCACATGGAGCCTTCTCAGGTGCTCTGCGTGGACCTAACGGTCCACACTCAGCTTTGAAAAGCCACCTTACTTAAGGGTCTGTGACCTGTCCCTGTCCCATAAAGCCCCTTTCCCTATTCAATGGGGTCCAGGTGAACTTCTCTCCCTCCTCCCACATTCTGGAGGTGCCGCCTCCCATGGTGAGATGGAGGAGATGGGGAGAGAAAGAATGGTGCCCAGAGATGGTTTGTATATGCTGTGTACGTGTGGGGTGACGCGCCATCCTTGCTTGTGGGATGGCAATAGGCTGATCCACAATGTGAATTTCTTCCTCTATATATTGCTTCTGCAGAGACCTAAGCAGAGCCTCAGCTCATCCCTCCTACCTGGCGCTCCACCTGTCAAACTGCACGGGACTCCCAACTGCTGCCATCCCAGCCCAGGGGGACTGTGCAGGAGTAAGAAGTTGGCTTTCAATGGCAGACCAAGGATGGTGGGAGGAAAGAGCCCCAGGCAATTGCTTCCCAAGCAGGGGTGGGGGACAGAGGGAGCACAGGCCAAGCTGGAGGTTTTGTGGTGGTCATGTTCTTGCTAACAGCTTGAGGGCCTTCCCCATCCCGGAACCCTAGCCCTGTCAGTGGCAGGGCCTCAGGACGTGTTCTCACCTCCCTGGGACTGGAGCTTTCCTCCCCTGGTCATTTTCTGGGTTGCTGGTTTCTTCCCTCCAGAAAATGTACTACCCACCATCTGATCATTTTGTCGTTGCTAATCCTCACTGGAGGACATTTTTTCCATGGATTTTTTTAGAGTGGAAGGGAGGGGGCAGGGAGAGAAACATTGATGTGAGACACAGGATCAAACCTGCAACCTAGGTATGTGCCCTTGACCGGGAATAGAGCCAATGATCTAACCATTGAGCACCACCGGCCAGGGCCATCTGATCATTTTATCTGTTCCTTTTGTTTCTGGTTGGCTGCACCTAAAGGAACCCAGGCCTATGAATGCAGGGACCACAGTGTTGGTTCCTGCCATCTTTCCAGTGCTCAGCTTAGGAGCTGGGGAGGAGGGGAGACAGCCACACAAGGGGTGCTGCCTTTGTTCTGAGCATACTGGGTTGAACAGTGTGCCCCCCAAATCCGTGTCTCCCTGGAACTTTGGAATGCCACCTTATTTGAAAATAGTGTGTCTGCAGAGGTAGTCAAGGTAAGTTTAAGAAAACAGGAGAGAGATACACACAGCGAGAGGGCTACATGAAGATGAAGGCAGACAAGGATGTGCCTACAAGCCGAGGAATGCTCGCCACCAGCAGAAGCTGGAA